CCTACACAGCTCTTCTGCTCCACACATGTATGAGTCACATAAGCCCCCACACCCCAACACAAACTTCTGCTTCATCCTGTGATTCCCTTCTACCTACACAGCCACCTTCTTGTCCCTAGATCCTACTGCCATGCAAATGCACAGAAAAGATTTTGTGAATAGTGATTTTTCCAGGAAATCATTTTATCATCTCAGGGCTATTAATAAAAACATAGAATAACTTTCAGATTAGAAATATACCAAAAGAAGGGATCATTCTCTATTATGCAGTGGGTGTTAAACAACATTTAAGAATCCCACTGTAAATCAGATTTATGTCAGAATAGCTCACAGTCTTGTGATCAGGCCACTGACTTTGAACTAAATACTTGCCCTATTCACAAATAAACGTGAACATAGGTCTGTCAGATTCCTGGGGAAGTTGCCTGACAAAGTCACCGTCAACCCCCCTCGTTGGAAGATTTCTGTTTTATATAAAATACGTGTTCAGCTACTGAACCAAGCAAAACTGATCCTCAGAGCTTTATGATGAAACACAACTGAGACACGCAGAATCCAACTGACAGTGTAATGAAAGCTTAATTATACAGAGCAAACAGAGTGAGAAAGATGTGAAAACATCTAACCTAAGAGCAATCTCTAAGAAGTCTTATATTAGATGTCTTCTTATTTTATGCATATGTAAACTCTCCTTATGAAGGGAATTAAATCCCTTTAAAGAGGAAAATTTGCGCCCCATCCTGGACAAGCCCTCTAAGCACAAGGCCCTGAGATGAAAGAGAGCTTTCACTCCGTTTCTAAACCTCAAAATGCATTTTTTTTTGGTAGATAATTTTTCTTGCACGGGTTCAGAACAGCAGCAGCCTGTAATGGATGTACACACCACGGAACATCTGAACACGCTCAGCTCTCCGCCCACAAACCTCGCCCCAGCAGAACTCCCCAACTCTCCTCCTTTTGCACCCCCCAATAAAAACACCCCGTAGGCCCGCACCGCACACCGACCCCGCAGACCCCGCAGCAGCACCCGCAGACCCCGCCGCACGACCCCCCACCCACTCACC